AGCGAAATTATAAAATGCATCAAACGCTACTGCATTACCATAATAAAAATAAATTCAAAATTGGAAAACACAAAACTGATAAATTAGGTGTGACAAGGGATCGAGCAAACATGTATTTTTTTGCACAATTAATTACAAAATTGTCTGCATTAAAGTTCCACCAAAGTTCGCACTTAAAAAGGACTAGAAAGTGTAAACACTCAATCTACGTCTAGGAACCCATCCAAGGTGATGAATTAAGTTGCCAAAATTTCAGTTATATGGTTCTCATAGATCGGGGAATCGAAATATACGGACAGGTACACGCGCGTACACACACACACACACACAAAAACACATACACACATATACACAAAATGCAAATACACACGCAAACACAGGCGTAAAACGCATACTGCTGAGCTGTTGTTGGTGTTTACGAAAAGTGCATAAAAATAATACGGGTAACATGTTTAGATAGCTGTTTGCGTAAACGCAATAGTTTTCATCCATAGGCTTTTTCGCAGATTATCCGCCAATGGAAACAAGGCCGCTTCAAAGCCGTTGTGATGATTTAATCATAAAAAGCCAAGCGGGCAAGATTGCTAAGCAGTTGCTTTTCTCTAAAGATGGCCTGGGAAGAATACTGAAGGTGGCCTGAATCTCTCCAGCGCCAACAAACATGCTAACACTAGTCCGTAGAAATAATCAGTAACAATTAATTATTTTACCAGCAATCGGCTATCAGTCAATAGTACCCTCCCGATTTCGACCAGGACCAGAATAAAACCATTATTATTAGTTGAGGGTTCTGATTACAAATGGTTTTCAGGTTTTGGACGAGCGTTTGTGCTGAAATGTCTGGATAACGGCCTGATAGTGTTTGCCGGCTGTCGGACCGTAGAGGTTCGATAAGACAATTTTCCTCCCCTCAAATTCCAATTTGCCAATTTATTAGTGAATAATTTTCCCCTCATACTAAGGCTTAGGAACCACATATGATCTTCAGTGAGTTACAGGGTGTGAAATCGCTGACGGAGGAGTGCAACGGACGAGGTGGCAATTTGCATGCATTCGAATTGGATGTCACTTCCGATGAAAGTGTTCAGAATGCAAAGAATTACGTCGAGGAGCAGCTACAACGCGCTGACAAAAGTACGTGCCAAAATAATATAAGACACAAGAACACATTAACTTAATAATACTTTTCCGTCCTCTTTTTCTTGCTATTTCTGCTTTTTCCCCTACTGATAGGAAAACTGCTCTTTTGTCCATCCATCGAATGGGCAGTAAGTACTAACAAGGGCTATACAGTTCAGTTTTGGGGAAGTTGGAAGTTAAATGGAAGTTGTACATTTAATTTATGCAAGATTTATGGTGATTTATGCTAGCGGCCGCAAAAGGTAGGTGTAAAGCAACAACCATTCATGCAGTTAATGGCCTGAGTACTTCAAGTCCGGTGCAAAAACACATAATCGCACGGGCTCACCCGGTGCATTCCAGCCTGGGTATTTTTAACTCGAGTGTTGCTGAGTTACAACCAAGCGCAAGCTTAAGCGCGCAAATCCTTTGATCCTGAGCTATCACTCTTTTAATCGTCAAGAAGTCTTAATTATGTGTGGGCATAATTTCTTGGAAAATCATCTAAGTGATTCCACAACCATCCATTGTTAATTAGTGTGGTATCCAGTGCTTGTCAGCAAAACAAGGCGTACATGCTCACAACAGATTTTGCTATTTATCGGGCTTTCAATAACGTCTTTTACTCCATGAAGTGCTTGTTTAACATCATAAAAAGGAGTAAACTGTGATAAGGAAAAGAGGCAACAGATCAGCAGAACGAAGCGGATTATTGATTGGTACACATCACTGAAAGAACACACTGAAGACAGCTAGTGCGGTAGTAGGTTCCGTTTGAATGGCTACTTGGAATTGTGTGAATGAGAGCCCCAAGCAGAAAAGAACGGAGAAGTTGCATTAATGGCGAGAAGAAATGCGGCGATGAAGACTAACAAAGAATCAAGTTATGGATGATGTGACTTCACCTTCATAATATCCACTTTCTCGTATTTCTTTACTCATTACTTTTAGGCTTGCATGCAATCGTGAATAATGCGGGAGTGCAATGCCAATGCTTCTTCGACGATATGCTGTCGATTGAGGATTACAGGGATGCGATGGAGGTGAACGCGTATGGTGTAATTCGCGTCACAAAAGCGTTCAAACAAATGATCAAGCGCAACAAGTCAGCACCTTTATTATCTATCAGTTGATTCACGATGTTGTTGCAGTATAGCCGTAAGCCAAGTTCAGCTAGGCCTTGGTTTCTTGCGCTAAACTTCTGCTGTAACTTCGTAAGCTTGCGGTACTTTGATATTTTTTTCTCAAATCTCAAGTATTTTTTGCGGAGTAGCCAAATCGTAGTAAGCTTAATCAGAAGCGAAAAGTTTCATTTTTCAAAAAAAGCATTCCAGTGGTTCAGTCAAGAAATAATTCTTTTTTTTTTTCAACTAATAATATCAAAAAAAAAAAGGTGCCAGTTAAAAAAACCACAAGCTGGCATCGTACAGTGGCAATTAGCACTGTTGTCATGCAGAAGGCCGAGAGCACGATTCCGCCTGAATTTGTGAATCAATGAAGGCTAAGGCTGCAAAAAACAGTGATGAAGCATTTAGGCCGCTGATGAAGGGACCTATTATGAGACGTGGAAGAAAAGAAGTAGGCGGGAATGGAGGAAGGAAGACAATAGCTGAAGTGATTGACTAAAACTGAAATTGTGGATTATTTGCTAGAATAATTAGGGCTTCCATAGTAGGATTCAGCTAGCAGTGATACTTCTAATTTCGCAAAATCATTTCACACGCACTTGTCTTGCCGGTTGTTTTCTATTGTTTCATACCATTTCAGAGGTCGAATCATCGTTTGCACAAGCTCATCTGTTCGCTTTCCATCACCTGGCCTTGGCCCATACACATTCTCAAAAGCGGCTGTCAACGGATATTTGCAGGTTATCAGGTAACACGTCTATTTGCGCTTACCCAGTGCTTCCTTTTAGCGGTCAAAGCCGAAGTTTTGTAGACGTAGATGTTGTTACTTGCACGACTAATATCAGCCAGTTGAGGCATGAGTTACGGCCTTTTGGCGTAACAGTAATCACCATTGAGCCGGGCATATTTCGAACACCGATGAACGATATTCCAAAAATGATGAGGATGATGAACGATATTTGGGCAAAGACAGATCGTGCTTTGAAGAAGGAATATGGCGAGTACTGGTTCAGTCGCGGTAAGCACTTTGGCTTCGAGCCCGCTAAATATTGGACCTCATAAACGCAGTCATGCTGCTTTAGGCCGAAATTGTTCTCTGGGGGAAATTCAGGCTTTTTTACAGAAACGAATATTGGAAGAAAAAGAACGGTGAAGGAAGAGAGTAAATGCAATTTAATAAAATCTGTTGATTTATCTTTTGATTTTTCGTTCAGGA